CTTTTTCAGCACTGCCAAAACTTCCTCACTACCTTCTACCCCTGCTTCAAACTGAAATCCACCCAGAAAAATCTCTTGGCTGACCCTCTGATGATCATTTCGTGCTGTAGAACAGATAAATATGTCATGCTCACCCGATTTCTGCTAGCTAGCAATTTCTGCTGCTGCTGGCTGGCTTCAAGAAGTCTGTCAGGCACACAATGCAAGTCATAGCAGACTGCTGAAATGAGCTGGTACAAGAGTGGCAAAGCTCTCTTGCCTGCTTTCTTCTTCAGAGAACTATCTGACTCCTTATGTAGTAGATGTCTATGCAGTGAGCAGTGGCAGTCAAAAAGCAAACACGATGATAGGAATCATTAAAAAAGGGACAAAGAATAAGACAGAATATCTTATTGCCTTTATATAAATCCATAGTATGCTCACATCTTGAATACTGCATATAGATGTGGTCTCCTCATCTCAAAAAAGATATATTAGCATTAGAAAAAGTTCAGAGAAGGGCAACTAAAATGATTAGGGTTTGGAATGGGTCTCATATGAAGAGAGATTAAAGAGACTAGGACTTTTCACCTTAGAAAAGAGGAGACTAAGGGGGGATATTGTAGAGGTATATAAAATCATGAGTGGTGTGGAGAGAGTGAATAAACGAAAGTTATTTACTTGTTCCCATAACATAAGAACTAGGGGCCACCCAACAAAATTAATGGGCAGCAGGTTTAAAACAAAAGGAAGTAGTTCTTCACACAGCGTACAGTCAGCCTGTGGAACTCCTTGCCTGAGGAGGCTGTGAAGGCTAGGACTATAATAGGGTTTTAAAAAGATCTAGATAATTCATGGAGGTTAGGTCCATTAGTGGCTATTAGCCAGGATGGGTAAGGAATGGTGTCCCTAGCCTCTGTTTGTCAAGTGGGTAGAAATGAATGGCACGAGAGAGATTGCTCGATTGCTACCTGTTTGGTTCACTCCCTCTGGGAGCGAAGCAGCAGCAGCGGTGGGGTGCCGCCTCCGCCTCCCCAGTTTTGTTCCAGGTGTCCCTGGTCTGCTGGAGATGGTCCCCAGCAGACCAGGGGCACCCGGAGCAGCTTTTCTCGCCCCGGAGGTCAAGGTTGGGGGACCGCTGCGCTCTGGGCGGTCCCGCTGCCTGCGAGCTCCGGGGCGAGAAAGCCCCGTTCATAAGTGCGGATCCGACATAAATCAGATCCGCGTAACTCGAGGACTGCCTGTAATCACAACTAGATCTCCAAAATTCATTTACTACTGTCTATCAATATAAAAGCCACACTATTTTTTATCCACTGAATACAAATGGACACTTAAAACATTACAACAATTGTCTTTTGAGCCATATCAACCAATTACATAGCATCGTTTATTTGTTTTAAAGAAAAGAAATTTGTTTCTGTATACTGTATAAATTTACAAACTTTCTGCAACATATGCAAATACAAGACTCTCAAGACTAATTGGGAACTGAAAAGCTCTAGCCCTTTACGGAAGTTAAATACAAGAACCATGAAAACTGTCTTTGCAGCACACTAATTTCAGACTTAAACTGATTTCCTACCATGTTTACTTCTTCCTTCCAAGTTATTCTCTAAATGTGACATTGTGACAGTGTCATTATTTTCAATTACATTGTATTTTTAAAAGATCGGATCAGACAGATGTGTCAATAGTTTTATGTCAAAAATTTGCCAAGTTTGATTGCAATACAGGCAGTCCCCAGGTTACATACAAGATAGGGACTGTAGGTTTGTTCTTAAATTGAATCTGTATGTAAGTCGGAACTGGCGTCCAGATTCAGCCGCTGCTGAAACTGACCGCCAGTTCTGACTTACATACAGATTCAACTTAAGAACCCCAAGTCAGCTGCTGCTGCAACTCTTGCACCTCTCACCCTTTCCCACATCCAAATCCCTCATTCCCACCCCAGAGCCTATACATCCTGCCTCAACCCAGTGAAGGTACAGCTAGACTGCAGGAGTTGTTCAGGATTCCAGAGATATCCCAGAAAAACTCTTCTGCATCCAGGGATGTGTTTATTCTTCCTCTTCTTTTAGTGGAAGAGCAAACATGATCTTTTGGTCACCCCTATATTCCTCTTTCCACGAGGAATAAGGGGGCTTCTGAAAGAAGGTTTTTTTCCGACATTTGGTCCGGTCTAGACAGGCCAAATGTTGGAAAAACCTCTTCCTACAGAAGAATTGGGGGAAAAAGCAGCAGTATAAGGGTTGGGGATAGCAAGTGATGGAGAGCAGAACAGAGAGGGCGGGGCTTCAAGGAAGGGGTGGGGCAGTAGATCTTGGCTTGTTCTGTCATTTAAAAAGTGATCTTGGGTGTAAAAAGGTTGGAGAGCACTGCCATACTGCGTGGCCTAGTGTATGGATCCGCACATACGAACGGGGCTTTCTCGCCCAGGGGCCCCAGCAAAGCCTCAGAAGCGCGGGACCCCGCCGCGGCTGCGGGTTTGCTCGCGGTGTCCCTGGTCTGCTGGAGACGGTCCCCAGCAGACCAGGGGCACCAGGAGCAGCTTTTCTCACCCCGGAGGTCCAGGTGGCTGACCGCTGCCTGAGAGCTCCGGGGCGAGAAAGCCCCGTTCGTAAGTGCGGATCCAACATAAGTCGGATCCGCGTAAGTCGGGGACTGCCTGTACATTCAAGTTTCACAGTTTTATAGTAACAAGTTTTACAGTAACAAAATATTACTGAACTTATTTGTAGTAATCTAAGAACATTGTCAGAAGCTTTTTTTTTTTTAAAGTGTATCTTTAAATTGACTTTTCATGTAATTATTTTCAGTTTCTATCAAGTCAACTCAACAATAAAATCTCGGGCCCACACTGATGTAATATTTTGCAAGGGAAAAAATTAAAGAGGAAGACTTTGGTCTGTGACTTAAATCTGAACAGCAGCGCAACAATAATTTTTCTAGGAAAGATGCACTTGTGAGAATAAAGCATATCAAGAGTTTCTCTCTCTAAAGGAGAGAGAAAATGAACCTGACATTTATTAGTACGCATGAAGGTATTTCACCTTCATTTGCACTCATGGAAATAGGATACCTTTTATTATCTTAAAAGGAGATTGTTATTTTTGCATGGATCATTTTTCCTAATTGCCACACATATATAGTAAGTAAACAACATAATAAAGCTCTATCTCTGAAACGTGAATGTTTTGAAAAATATCACTCAATCATTTTACTTACTTTAAAAGAAAAGTGAATAGCAGATTCGGGAGGATAAACAATGAAGTGTCTTAAGGTAAAACCAAAACCTTGCGACGTCCTTCTTAACATAACTGTTTTTGGACCAGGCCAAGAGAATGTTTCTTCTTCCTCTGATGGTGATACAACTTCACTCTGCTCTTTTCCATCTTTATGTTTTGACACCTAAAACAGATTTTTAAAAGTACTAGGTGAGAAAAAAAAGCTGTACATTCTATTTTTTTTTTTAAACAAGACACTCCATCTTCAAGAAACAGAATTTACAAAACAAAATATACACAGGATCATTTTAGCAAGCTGTAAGTTTTCCTAATACACTAAGACTGATTGAGAATATATTTAAAACTGTGTGAAACTATATTTACCTCAGAAAGTCAATCAAAAAAAATCAAGTGCCAGTGTTTAATAATTTGTACTCGACTCATCTAGGGAGATCCATACAGAGTGATAATAGAGATGTAGCCATGTTAGTCTAGTCTAGCTGAAACAAAAAACAGGACTATGTAGCACTTTAAAGACTAGCAAGATGGTTTATTAGGTGATAAGCTTTCGTGGGCCAGACCCAGGAAATGGGTCTGGCCCACGAAAGCTCATCACCTAATAAACCATCTTGCTAGTCTTTAAAGTGCTACATAGTCCTGTTTTTTGTTTCATACAGACTGAAAATCTTGTCTAACATACTTTACTCAAGTACAAATACTGATCTGCTTCCTTTGTCCCTGCTGGGAGTCAGGTATTTACCCAGCATACACATACATACATATATGGTACACAGACCATTCTGTCCTGACCTGTATGTCACATTAGAATGGCCAAACAGGGTCAGACGAACGGTATCCCAATGTCTGAAAGTGGCCAGTGCCAGATGCTTCAGAGGGAACGGGCAGAACAGGGAAATATATTGCGTGATCCATCCATATAGGCCCAGCTTCTAGCAGCAATCAGAGGCTTAGGGAAACCCAGAGCATGCAGTTGTCCCCTTGGCTGTCTTGGCAAATAGCCACCAATGGATCTATCCTTCATAAACTTATCTAATTGCTTGTTTTCACCAAGCTATACTTTTGGACTTCATAATGTCCCCGGCAATGAGTTTCACAGGTCGGTTGTGCATTGTGTACAGGAAGTATTTCTTTATACTTGTTTTAAACTGCTGCCTAGTAGTTTCATTGGGTGACCTCTGATTCTTGGGTTATAAAAAAAAGGAGTAAATAATACTTCCCTGTTCACTTTCCCCAAACCATTTATGATTTTATAAACCACAACCATATTTCCATCCCCTCTCCCATTGTCTCTTTTCTAAGCTAAATAGCCCAAGTCTTTTTAATCTTGCCTTGTATGGAAGTTGTTCCATATCCCTAATGATTTTGGTGTCCTTCTCCACACCTTTTCCAATTATAAAATATCTTTCTTGAGATGGGGTGACCAGAACTGTATGCAGTATTCAAGATGTACAAAACCATGGTATGCCCACAACAGCAGTATATTTTCTGTCTTATTAACTATCCTTTCCTAATGGTTCCCTACAGTGTTACACTTTATACAGTATTACACTTCCACTGGATTTTGGGCAGATGTTTTCAGAAAATAGTATGCAGTGACTCCAAGATAAATAGATAGATATCTCGATATCTCTCTCTCTCTCTCTCTGTCATCCTGTGGAGGGGAGGGGGGAGAGAAAGGGGCATTATGTGTCTCAGTGTGTCCCACAGCCCCTCCCTTTGCCTGCAGCCCCTACCTCCGCCCTCAGCCACACGGCTTCTCCCCTACCCTGTGCTCCAGGGAGCCGCGAGCCACACAGCCTCCCCCCTCCCTGGTGCTCCGGGGAACCACAAACACTGTGACCTCCCACCTTGTCCCTCCCCCATATTTGGGGGAGGGGGAAAGCTGCGCAGCTTCCAGCTGGACCCGGCCCAACCACCATCCGGCGGCTGGGGCAAAGAGAGCCGGGCCTGCCACAGTGAGGCCTCAGCCTCGCTCAGCTCAACTCCCCTCCCTCCTGCAGCAGCCAGAGGGAAGAGAGCCAGGCTGGGCAGGGGAGGGGGAGGGAGGAGAGAGAGTTGAGGGGGAGGTGAAGGGGAAGGAGGTAGAGCTGGGGCTGGCTAGGCCTCCCCCCCTTCCCGACAGTGGCTGGGCTAGGCCTGGCCAGGCGAGGCCTCAGCCTGGTCCCTCCTCCTGGTGAAAGAGAGCAGAGCCAGGGCTGGTATGGCCTTGGCCTTGCCCAGTGGCAGGAAAGAAGTTCCAGGGTTGGCCTGGCCTCAGACTGTCCCCACTCCCAGTTATGGTTGCCCGATGGTTTAACCAAAAATACCGAACATTCCTCCCCTACTCCCCCCAAGAAAAAGGGGAAAAAATTTTGTTGACAAAGGGGGGGGGGGAGCAAAGTTTGGGGGGGGGAGTAAGGACCCAGAGCGTTAAGCAAAAAAATTTTTTTAAACTGCATGGCCCCTTTAAGAACAGAAGGGGCTGAGCTCTGCCTCTCCTAAAAGGCTGCTGGTGGCCATCTTGCCTTCCTCTCTGCTCCGCCAGACAGCTTCCCTGCAGAACCAGGTAAGCAGCATGGAGGAGAGCAGGGGGAGGGCTGGGCCAGATTGCTGAGTGTGTGTAGGGTTGCCAGGAGTCCGGTATTCACCCGGACAATCTGGTATTTTTGCCCCCTGGCCCGGGAAGGGAGGGGGCGGGGAAATCAGAACATAACCGACATTTCAGGTGTCCGGTATTTTCTGAATTGTTTTACCAGACAGGAGCCGAAAATACAGGACTGTCCGGGTCAATACCAACACCTGGCAACCCTACCCCCAGGGCCAGGGTGAAAGCCAGGCCCAGCATGGCTTCAGCCTGGTACGACTTCACCCCAACCCCTCCCGGCACCTTAGGATAGGGGGAAGAGCCAGAGAAGTCTCAGGCCCACCCCAGTGGTCAGGGGAAGGAGAGCCGGGCCAGCCCCAGCCCCTCCCTGGCAGCCAGGGGGAAAAGCCAGGCATGACCTCACCCCAGCTACCCTCCCCAGTGGTAGGGCCCAAGAGCCAGGGCTGACTTGGGGGTGGGGGTAGGGGGCTGGGGCAGCCTTGAACACTCCCTGGCAGCTGGTGGAGGAGGAAGAGCCAGGGATAGGGGCAGAGGAAGAAGAAGGGTAACATCAGACCCTCCCCAGCAGCTGGAGGGAGCAGGGACAGAGCTGGGGCCAGGGTGGCCTCAGCCCCGGCCAAGAGAGGGGTTGGTGAGTATAGCGAGCACCCTAATCATAGGTATATATTGGGGATTCTGTTTTCTAACAATAAATTTCATCTGCTGTTGTTGCCCAGTCACCCAATTTTGTGAGATCCCTTTGCCATTTTCACAATCAGCTTTGAGCATAATGTGTAATTTTGTATCACCTGAAAACTTGGTCTCCTTACTGATTATGCCTTTCTTCCAGATCATTTATGAATATGTTCAACAACACTGGTCCCAGTACAGATTTTGGGGGAGCCCACTATTTACCCCTCTCCACTGTTAAAGCTCTCAATTTATTCCTACATTTTTTTCTTTAACCAGTTATTGATCTCAGGTGGACATCCTTATCCAATGACTGCTTGCTCTGCTTAAAAGCCTTTCATGAGGGACCTTGCCAAAGGCTTTCTTAAAGTCCAAGTGCACTGCATCCCATAGATTACCCTTAACTACATACTTGTTGACCAGTCGAAGATTTCTAATAGATTGAGGAAGCATGATTTCCATTACAAAGCCATGCTTCTTCCCCAATATATCATACAACTTGTGTGTCTGGTAATTCTCTTCTTTACTTCATAGTATGCTCAGAATTGGTATTTTGAGAGCAGCAGTAGCTTCTGAACCTGATCAGTTATTACTTTTTAACCTCTTCACTTCCCTCCAATTATCACACTCCATCTGACAAAACTAAACATGCAGGCCCATCTACACTGGTTCACAAGTTAAATATTGTGTCCCTGAAAAGGAATTACACAAAGTGTAGACAAAAGCAAATCTAATTTCTGCTTTACACAACAACATGTAGAGCAGTGTGACAAAAGAAATGAAAAAGCTATTTCATTTGTTAGTCTACTTGATATAAATTTAGTCTTTTGCTAGTCAAGAAAATACTGGCAAACTGTTTTGGAGTTCATTCCTAGAGAGTGATTCACCCCCACCAACGTCACCCAAAATTATACAAGTAGCAAAGTTAAAATACCATCTGCTGTAAATTACACCTCACCCTCCCAAGCATTAAAAAACCATGTTTTTAAGAATAATCCTAAATATTTATGTAGATTTCATATAACTATATGAACTATAGTTCAAATTATGCAGTTTTGTTAAATTATATATCATTTTATCCCTTCATGCAGCTGCATCTTCAGGCAGGAATCCTTTATTCATAATGACATCCACTTGTGATTTTCCAAGCCAATGCCACTTCATGCTTATTTACCTCAAAGCTGAAGTCAAAATGTTTTTTTTTTTTTGTTTTTTTTTTTTAAGTGTATGAAACCCTATGAGGCCTCCAAAAAGGATCTAATCTTCTCTGTCTGCTTTGGGTATTTGATCTGGAAATCATTCAGATTTTTTTTTTCAATTAGTAAGACAACCACACAGTTTAAGTGTAATATGAAAACTGTATCTATTAGATTAAAAGTGGGCTAGGTCTCCAATATAAACACTTTTCTGTACTCATTTTTAATCTATAGGAATTAGAGAGATTAGAATTAACCGGAATTGGAGAGAAGAATGGTAAACTGTCCAGGGAAGAGAGGTTTCTGCATGAGCTATTTTCTCCAAGAAATATGAATGATAATAGTCCTCACATCACACTTCACCTGTGGCTGAATCGATTGTGGGGAATTAAATATGAAAATTCTTCATGCTGTGAGTCCACTGAAGTCATTTGTATATTGTTTGTTATTTATTATTCTGATAATAGTATCTACATCAAAGAAAACATACGTTTTAAGGAGAATGAGAGAGACTGGGGTGGCCATTTGAGAACTTTACTGAGAAGCTCTCTTCCCAAGCATAAAGGAAAGTCATGGCAGAATGTGAGCAATGCTTGTAGGAGAAGTGTACAAGTGGTTGCTAAAGGTCAGTCTCACCAGCAGAGTGAATGGGGGGGTGGGGCAAATGTCGTAAGAAGTTATCCTGGCAACTGGAACCTAAGTGATGGAGTACACAACAAGTGAAGATAGGAAACCTGTGGTTGGCATGGTAGAAATGGGTAATCCAAGAGGGGATGAGGTGACCACACAAGACAAAAAACTTAGAGACAGGCTTAATTAAGGTATTCAACCTTTTAGTATAGCTATCAAGTTAGCTTTTAAAACACTTCACTATATCATTTTACTACATAGTTTCGGTATTATGGATGAAAGCGACTAGTCAACTATCCAATAACCATGTCTCTATCAGAGAGAGGCAGCAAGAGCGGAGCAGAAGCCGGTGCTGGGGGGAGCCGGATTAAAAGCCGGTTGCCAGGCCTCCAGCACCATCTCCACAGATGGGCAGGGGAAGCAGAGACCCAGTGGGGGACCGGGAGTGAGCTGAGAGCCTGGCAGATCGTAATAGATTTAAAAGGCAGAACCGCAGCGGGGTTAGCTCCTGGGACAGGGAGATTGCCAAGCCGCAGTGGGGTTGTTCCCCCTCCCCACATCCATCAACTAATCGACTAGTTGATTAGCTGATTAAATGCCATTTAACATCCTTATTTTGTATGTGATTTTTTCTCCAATTCAATCAATTGAGCTATATAAACCAGATCGTAATAGATTTAAAAGGCAGAACCGCAGCGGGGTTAGCTCCTGGGACAGGGAGATTGCCAAGCCGCAGTGGGGTTGTTCCCCCTCCCCACATCCATCAACTAATCGACTAGTTGATTAGCTGATTAAATGCCATTTAACATCCTTATTTTGTATGTGATTTTTTCTCCAATTCAATCAATTGAGCTATATAAACAAGGCTAATAAATGCTCTCAAAAAGTGTCTTACATGCTCATGAAAAAAAAAAGAGAACTAATCCAAGAGAGACAGAGCTGGTCTGATCCCATTAACTGAGCAAACAGTACTTTAACCACTGGCCTCAGAACACTGGAAAACTCTTCAGTACTAAATTTTTCAAGACATAATGCAGAAATTCAGTTATTTAACTCCCATATAATAGTGTAGAGATACAAGTCAATTTTGTACAGAACGTGGTACATTTGAAAACTTTTGAGCAGGCAAATAGAAATAAGAAAAAAAATCAGTTACTACAGAGAATTCTCTTCTAGGTATCTGCCTCCTGGGTCTTACACACACATACACTGAAAGCCTGATTGTCATATTTGAGGTCAGGAGGGAATCCCCTCCACCCAGTCATATTGAAAGATACCCTGGGGGGTTCTTTTGCCTTCCTCTGCAATATTTGGCATGGGTCACTTGCAGCTTTGAACTAGTGTAAATGGTGAATTCTGTGTTATTTTAAACCATGATTCGAGGACTTCCATAATCCAGCCAGAGATTGGGGGGTCTGTTTCAGGAATGGGTAAGGTTCTGTGACCTGCAATGTGCAGAAAGTCAGACTAAATCCGGGATGGGCAATAATTTTTGCTTGGAGGCCACTTAAAAAAAATCTGAAGTAGCCCCAGGCCACCCTGGAAGAGGCAGGGCCTAAATGGGAAGGGGCGGGGCTACCCCACCCCGAGACCATGATTGGCCTGGGGGCGAGGGAGCTTCTTTGTCCCCCTTCCCACTAGGCTCCCAGGGTGGGGGGGAGACCAGAGGAAGCTTCGCACGCTCCTCCTTGCCCCCAGGCCAATAAGGGCCTGGGGAAAACAGTAAGCCTTCTCCCATCCTGCGAGGAGCACGTGGCACTTAGAAGCACTGCAGCTCACAGGGCCGGGACAGGGCAAAGGAAGCTTCACGCAGCTCCCCTGTCCCCAAGCCCTGATTGGCCTGGGGGCAGGGGAGTGCATGAAGCCTCCTCTGCTCTCCCCCCAACCTGCAAGCAGTGTGCGGCACTGCTCACAGAACAGAGAAGGCTTTGGGTGCTCCCCCTCCCCCAGACCCTAATTGCTCTGGGACCAGGGGAGCAGCAGGTCCTCCGCGGGCTGGATCAGGCCCACAGAGGCCCTTTTGCCCACCCCTGGACTAGATGATCAGGATGTTTCCATCTTACTTTGAAGTCTATGAAATATGTTAGACATGTATTCACAGACCACCTACAGCAATAGCAGTGTAAGGTTTTCCATGTAGCCACGCCATCTGAAAGGACAGATTGCATGGGTGGGGAAAGGTAAGAGACCTGCCAATAATGTGTCTGAAAATATCAATTACAATGACAGCAGCACTCATGTCACAAAACACAATTTGTTTCACCCAAATAACCATCAGATAATAGCAATTTTCAGGCACTTCTCTAACCAGAGAAGGATCTGAACTAGGTAAGGTCTACACTAGGAGGCAACGTTGAACTAAGGTATGCAACTCCAGCTACATGAATAGATGTCCATTAGATCAAGTTGCCATGGCATCTCCTCTGCCTGGGGTGGCGGGGAGAGAAGAAAGAGGGATGTCAATGGGAGAAACTCTCCCATCAATTGCTTTATGCTTCTCCATCTGGTGGAGGACTGGCATTGATGAGCATGCATTCAGTGATCAGTTTAGCTTAATCGATTTTTGGGGGGAGAGAGTTCCCTTCAGCACAGATCTCCTGGTAAGTGTAGACAACGCCCAAGTTACAAGTTAAAAACTCTGTGTCACATTATTAGCCCAATGAACCAGACACACACACATACACGCACGCATTCCCTAAAAATCACACCCTATCCACTCAAACCTCCCTCTTTAGAAAAAACTTTTTGAAAGGAAAAGGAGGAAGTTTTCCAATATAAAATTAAGCTGTATGATACACAAGAGAGAGAAAAAAACACATACAGGAAAGCAATTATGTTGATTTCTATAGACTAGAATGATTTACTAAGGGCAGAGCTCCTACATGTTTTTACTTGTGAATTGAATAAATATTATTGTCATGTAGAAGTTAAGAATACACAAATGTGTCATTTCCTAAAGGTGACTTCACTCTGAAGAAGCTTCACTTATAGTTACATAATGAATCATTTGTGGTCATTAAATGTAAGTTCTGACAAACTCAAAGACTATTTTGTAGCATACACCTTAATAAAGCTGTGTGTCTCTGTTTCATTTTAAACAGAAGTTAAATCCCTGAATTTCTATGGATTATCCAGTCAAACTCAACCAACAAAACAGATAAGAGCTGAACCGTCCAAGTTTAAGTACCCTTTCCCTAAAGAGTTCAAAAGACATTTCTAGTGCTGCGAGAAAGGAGGTTTTTTTCCAAATCTCAAACTATTTCCTTTTCTGTAAAGTTACCATAAAACACGAGATGCTGAAGTTTACAGTAAATATTTCTCCTTTATTTCACCTTGAATATTTCATTTAATAATAAATACAGTACTCTTTTCTGAACTGTGAAGATATCTACAGACTGCAGGATAGACAGACTCTTAATAGGTTAGTATCATGGAAGCCCAACAAGCTGTGCATCAACATTAAACAAGATTAAAAGACATACTTAATGTTTTGAAATAAAAATAAAATATTTCATATAAAAAAAAAACCTAGAAAATATTCAGCTATTCAGACCATCTTCATACAATAAAGTAGACCAAATAAAGAGCACAAACCTACTTTACAAATTATTAGCTGGTTACCATTAAGCTTCTGTGCACTTATTACAGTTAGTCCTGTCTGGCTTTGATAAAGGCATGGAAAACTGCAACAAAAAAATCCTAAATCCAGAAAAATCTTCCATTTGGCTTACTTCCCAAACTCTCAATACACCTCTCTTTCTCTTCATATAGAACTCAAACATTGTCTGGACAACTAACCACCACCAAACATATGTTAACAATTGCCTTAAAAATATGAAAGAGACTTTATATTAAAGGATGAACACTAACCAATTAATCCTCAGAACAACCCTGCAAGTATTTAGCTGCTAGCATAAAAGTTTAAATACTATGGATACAACAACAGTCATTTGTGGTAACTTTTTTGACTCCAGCTGAGGTTTGCAAAATCACTTGGGTTGTGTGTTGACGTGTCTTTGTTGAAGTAGTAGACAAACTGTAGCATATTGTGTGATGGGCTGGTCACAACCCTGACTGCATGTTAGTTTATATAAAACAATAAAATATTACGGGAGACTACTTACAGTGTAAATTAATTCTCTGAATGAAGGTACAAGTAAATACCAGAAAAATCAAAAGTTATATTACTTATTCTTTAGGTGCATGTCTGATCTATTACACACATACACAGGGAAAGATTTTTAAAGGGGACAAATATGAATTAGGTGCCAAACTTCTATTTCTTCTCCCTCTTTCTATGGGAGTTGAGATCCAGATGCCCTGTGTACCTTCCAAAATCTCTCCCAAAATTAAGTTAAACTCTATTCAATGTTTCATGGCTGATGATTAATACATAGGATCAGATCACTGCAATTCAGCAAGTCATGTTACGTATGGGAAGATTAGGAGGTCAGAGTCAAACCAACTCTACCTAAGCTTTTGGCGACACAGTACCCACATCAAAGCATGGCCATGGCAAACACACTCTGGAAGAGTGAAGAGAGTAAGATTCCTCCTGCATTTCCCCTCCATGCCAGAAGAAGTGTCTGACTCCTGCATAAACATGCATGGCTGAGAGGACAGATATTTCCTGTGTTCTCTCCCTATCCCAAGTTGTTCAGGACAAACAATTGTTGGAGCAGAAGAGCTCTTGAAACCACCATCTGCAATGCTAGAATTCTGGGCTGGGAAGCTACCTCCTCCTCATGCATTCACATTCTAACTTGGGACGTGAAAGTGTAATTGTATACATGGTTAACCAATGAGCCCAGTCACAGTCCATCCCCACAAGCTGCTCCCTTTGTATCAGAGGCAGTGGGGAAAGAGGGGTGGTAGGAGCCAGTGTATGTAAGGAGCCAACTTAAAAGCCAGTTCTCCACATGCACAGGCTCCCAGGAAGCTGACTTCCTCTCTACTCCTGCATGGAACCAATGACATTTTCAGCGGTTACATGTTTACTTTAATAAATACATTTTAACATCCCTAATTCTAACACTGAATGGACTGACAGAGGGTTTAGTTCAAGTAAACCCAATACATTCACTGTGGAAACTCACAGAAATGGCACCTTCCACTAGTCTCTAGTTTTACAATCAGCAATTTGAACACGTGTGAATTTTGCTCCCCATGGAGGAATACCGTTTTATAGCCAAAACAAGTGTATCAATTTATCTTTTTTCAACACTTCTCTAACACCCCAATGAGTTGCAATTTAAGAACAGAAGCTAAGAAGGGACAAAGCATTTCTAGGACCTTATTGCCTCTTACTTTGTCTCATTCTTTCGTTGTACTTCCCTGTCTGTCTCGATTCATCTGTTCTCTCTTGTGTTACTTAGACTGAAAGCTTTTTGTGGCAGAGATCATCTTTGTAACCTAAGTTTGTACTGTGCCTAGCATTAGGGATTCCTGACCAAGTGTAAGGATCCTTTTTGCCATGGTAAGACCAACAATGTTACTCTTACGCTTTTTGTAAATTTGTCCACTACAGTAGAGACAAAGAGGCTCTCGATCTCACATATTTCATATTGTGTTTTGTGTTCTGAAAGTCACGGTTAGAATTAGGGATGTAAAATCCCTTTTAATTGGTTAACCAGTTAAACGTAGTATTAAATACTACATTTAACGGGAGAATGGTGGAGCTCTGCTGGTCCTGTGCGAGGCTGCTGCTTCTGGCCCTTAGCAGGTCTATTGGCTCCATATCTATGCGGGTTGGAAGCCAGCAACCCTCCACCCATGGCAGGCCTAGGTACCAGTTAACAATTACCTGGTAAGCATCACACACACTAAGAGCCATGCTTATTGGGTAACTCGTTACATGTTCATATCCCTAGTTAGGACTGGTTTCTGAATTTTACCCACACTATTCTGTTAACTCCATTTACCAACTAACCTTGTTTAAAGCCTTTTAAGTGCAAACAGAAAGTCCTTGTAAATGTTACCCCATGTATAGCCTTGGAAGCTAAAATAGTCTATTCAGAGAAAAGCTATAGCTGGACCAGCAGTATTGCAGACTTTATGGCACACCTCTACGAATCTGCTTGTGAAGATACTCCAGCATACTCCGCTGTTGACTTTTCTGTTGAGACTATCACAAAAAGTGATAACTGCAGTAGACAGTTCTATGATATGGACATATGTTTGTTGGTGTGCTGAGATCAATCCCTTCTCTCACACGCAGAAAGTCAGACGATATAAGATGGTAATATCTTTCAGATACTACTGATCTGGGCTTAATTTCAGACAGCATCCCCAAAATGAAAGTCTCCTATGCAGGATTATAAATCCCCAGAGTCATCGACAGACCTCAAATAAATTTCATGCTCCATATCTAACTTTGTAAATACTTCGATAGGCTGCTTCCTATCTATGTCCCCTATTTTGCACAAGCGTTGAAATCAGCAGCACCGAATAGTGTGGAACAGCATAAAACAATGTTGAGCCTTGTGCCTCTATGGCTCCTACAGTGCTTAAACCCAAAAGGGAGAACCATTCGTTCTCCTAAATGTTTATATCTGAGCATCTGTCACTGTGCCAGCAGTCCCTCTAAAACGGTCAGAGCTTGGGGAGGACCCAGAAGACAAACACTACGTTTTTAGCAGGTTTTATGTCCTCTGGGGTCTCATTTTAAATTTGTATATATATTTGTATTGTGTTTAAACATTTTTTGTAAGCCGCCTTGAATATTTTAAATAGAGAGGTGGGGTAAAAAATATTTAAATAAATAAATAAAACAAACAACACATCCTGTCAGATCATACCCTGTATGGTAGAGAGCAAAGATTAAGTCCTTTACAGTCAAGCACCTCCAGAGAGCTGATCATTCTGGCTGACATTAGGGCACAGAAAAGTCACTTAGATGAAAAATAAAATCTTATTGTATAGCAAGATAGTCTTTAATATATGCAAAGGTCCATTTCTTGAGAAATCAGAACCCTCCCATTTTTCATCTAATAAAATGTATTAATCCAGTTTAAGATTCAAGTATGGGAAAGATGAAATCCCTGCCTAAGAAGTGGGCACAAATTCAAACGCACCAGGGATATTTATTTTCTTTCTTTTGCTGGAAATTAAATATGTACCTCTACTCACAAATCACAAAAATAAAGAAAAAAAATACTGCACAGCAAATGAATGACTGACAAAACTGTAACACAGGAGTACATAATGGTCACACTGGATCAGATCAATGATACATCAAGCTCAGTATTCTGCCTTCAGACACCCGACAGTGCCAGATGCTCCAAGAGGGAATGAACAGAACAGGACAATCTATGAAGTGATACATCCCCTATAGATCAGTCCCAAGCTTCTGGCAGTTAGAGATTTAGAGACCTGGAGCACAGTGTTGCACCTCTGACCACCTTGGCTAACAGTAATTGATGGACTTATTCTCCACAATAAAATCTCTTTTGTGTTTTTTTGTAATGTCTTGTAATTAATGTGTCCATTTACAGACCAATGCCAGACCACAGTACTAAAAAAACTTAAAATTCCATCTAACGTTGGTCAAAAAATTGTTAAAAAGAAAGAAATTAAGGTCTTCCTAGTTTTATTATCGCTTCACTAACATAGGCCTCCATTCTTTAACGGCAACATCCTCTTTAAAAATTGCTAAGAAAGGAAACATCTGCTGGACTGGTAGCACATCAACAGCAAAACGTGTCAGATCTGAGCTTGTTAGTTAAATTCTTTATTCAGCAGTGAAGGTATTGCTGTTACCAACAGGTAACCTCACTATCTGATGAAGAGTCTCAATACCAAAAGAGGTTTCCAGCAACAATACTTGCAAGGGTAAAAGGAAAAGGAATCAAACCCTCCAGAGGAATAGCTAATAAAGCCTTCCAGGTGGCTCAACAGAAATGACTTGCCTAGTGGGGCTGCTTGTCACTAGGGATATTAGTGTATAATCGTGTAAACGAATTAACTGATAAGCATAGTGGACACTGCATCAGAGGCAACAAAGGGGGGGGAAGGGGAGAGGCAGGAGCTGGTGCCTGTGAGGAGCCAACTTTTAAGCCAGCTCTCCCCACATTCAGGCTCCAAGGAGCTGCCTACCCTCACACAGAGATCAGGGGGAGCCAGTTTAAAAGCACCATATCAGAGGCAGCCACAGGGGCGGGGGCGGAGGGGAGGGAATAGGCAGGTGGGATGCCTACATAACATATTTTATAGAAAGGTTTTCCATTTCAAGCCTAAGCATTTCACAATAAGATAAGTCATTAGCCAAACACTGAGAACACTGTTTGAGACAACAAGAAAGCTAAGAGAAT